GTCCAATGTTTTCTAGGTTTTCATCTCTCAGCATGACAAATGCTCATGTCGTGAAGACTGAAGAATTAACTTATTTCACTAAGTTTTTAGACAATAGTGTCATTGTTTAGTACAGAACTAAGTCTTGGGCTATATCTCTATGTTGCTTCCTCTTTGGGAGTATTTCCAAAGTTTACCTTAGGAATTGAGTGGTTTGGGAGGAGGTAGAGGTAGACAAATAAGAGAAATGTCAGTCAAATTCAACATCAGCTAGAGGTCAAATTGTTGTGTGATTCTAGTCACTTTAGAAACTATGGTGTTTTCTGCTTTATGATGCATTGATCATTTTTCAGAACTTGTGTGAGATTTGGTATGGCAAGAAATAACTCTCCTTGGCAGGGGCATGTCCATAAAGACCCCAGCAGTGACCCATCCCAGTCCTCTTTGCTGCTCAGCAATTCTGCTACATTGCCTAGCACTAACTAGTTCACACTTCTTTTGTGGCCTCAGCTCCTATACCCTGCCCTCCTCCACCATCAGCTGACCATCTTGCTTCTTAGTCCACTAAGAAAACAGAACCATTCAGACTAGAGCTCCCCACACTTCTCAATAGCACATCCCAGCCCTCCCACACACCACCTGCATTGCCCTCCTTTCTATCACTAGGGATTAAGTGGTTCTACTCTCAACTCAAGAACTTCACTGCAGAAATCATTCCATCTCTCTTTACACGTCCATAGTTTTCCCCTCTTGAAACCAATGAGCTCTAATTTCTCCCAACATCCCCTATCTATTTCCCCCTTTCACAGCAAACCTCCTCCAAAGAGGGTTCTATTCTCTTCCACTTCCTCTCCTCCCACACTCTCTCAAAACCACTCCAGCCAGGCTTTATTTCTGCCATCCTCTCTCTGCTAAGGATACCAATGACCTCTAAGTCACCAATCATAATCATCAATAATGTATTCTCTCATTTCATTTGTCTCATCAGCAGATCAGGCACAGATGGTTACTTCCTGCTTCTCAAAACATCCTCTCTCACTTGGCCTCCAGGATGCTACTCTCTTCTCTCCCCTCTCTCTCATTGGCTGCTGCTTCTCGGCCTCCTTGGCTGGGTCTTCCTCACTTTTTTTCACCTTCCTAAACTCTAAATGTTGAAGTGCCCAGATCTTAATTTTCAGATTTTTTTTCCTTTTCCCTTCTCTTCTCCACTATATTCCCAGCTGCTCTGTGTTGGTGACTTGTGGATTTCTATCTCTAGTCTGGACGCTCACCGGAATTCTGGATCCCCACCTGTAATCACTTGCCCAACTTCTCCACTTAGGTGTCTGAAGTTAGGTAGGCATCTGAAGTTTACTGTATCCAGAACAAAATCCTGTGGTTTTCACCTGTATCTCTTCCTCCTGTGGTCTTCCGTACTCATTAAATGGAATCTCCACCAATTAGCTGCTCAGATCAAAATACAGAATTTTCTTTGACTCCTCTTTCACTCACATTCCACAATTGAATCATCAGTAAATTCTTCCCAATTCACTTTGAAACTTTACAGATTCCATTTGTGGTAGTTATTCCAGTCCAAATCACTATCACCTCCCTCTCAATAGCCTCCTGCCTCTTTGCTTCTATTCTTGCCGTCCCCCTCCACCTTGCAGGCAGAATGATCCTTTGGGAGTCAAGGCCCAGTCAGTCATGTGCTTTCTCTGTAGAAACCCCTATAATGTCTTCCCACCACCTAAAACATAGGCCTGCTGGTTATCTCTCTGGTGTTATCTCCTGCTACTCTCCTCCTTGCTCTTCTGTATCAATTACTGACCACTTGACCTGTTGGCTGTTCTTGTTCCTGGAACATGCCAAGTCTACTGTTCCTCAGGGTCTTTGCACTTCTCTCCCTGATATCCGAAAACTTTTACTTCCAGGATAGCTGTAGTGGTTGCCCCTTATACATTCATATCTCTACCCAAATATTCCCTCATTAAGAAAGACTTCTCTGACCAATCACCCCATGTAAGAATATCCCCAACCCCTGTTACTCCTGAGCTCTTTTGTTGATTTTATCCCCCCACCGTAGCCATTATCATACAACATTTGACTACATATCTATGTGTATATATGCTTGACTCCTTGTCTGTCTCCCTCCCAGTCTCATCACCGGAATGAGAACTCCATGAGAACCCAGGTTTTGTTCTGTTCACTATCACATCCCAGACTGTAGAAGAGCACCTTCTTCATAACAGGTGGTTCAAAAATTGTTGACAAAGCTATTCAAATTCCATCAACTCTCCAGTGACACCTGTACATTACTAAGCTGAGGTTTTATACTTTACACACACTTTATAACATCTGCTTTTGAAATAATAAACACAAGTCATAATTCCAAGGAGCTTGTCCTAGTTAGTAAAACTCTCAAGGAACTTCCCGTAATCGTGGCTCCTGCTGGCTTTGGCAGTCTTCCTCTCAGCATCCCACTCTGTTCTCTTTTGTCAGATTTCACTGGATGTTAACTTTGCCCTGCTAAGCCTTATTCAAGGTGCCAACTGCATTTGAAATTCTGCCTACTGTTTTGTCTGAGAAAAACCATTTTTATCTTCTCAGCATCTTCAAATTCTGTCTAGGGTGCTGGGAAGCACAAAGTTGAAGACTCCAGAACCACTCTTTCTTCTGTTTTCCTTTCCTTATCTTTTTGTTTCCTGTATATCTTATTTTTTTTCTCTTTTTACAAAAATCAAGGAGATTTCTAGAAATCATGTTGATTAGCTTCAATGCCATGGTACAAAGATATTGTCCCTGGCAACCATATTGTGCTTTAGAAACGTATCACAGATGAAGCCCATATTCCAGATCCAAACACATATGTAATTATGTAGTGTGGGGGGGAATGTAAGGTTGCATGTTCCAGACATGGGAAATAAGTTGACCTCTATTCAGGTTATTGCCATAAATATAGAGAAGGAAAGCCCCTGCATCAGTTTTCCATCGTAAACACGTAAAGTGTAGCACCACAGCCCAGGGAATGGAAAGCAAACACTCATGAGCAAGGCTATCTTAGAGTCTAACCTCTGCAGAAGTGCTGTGAAGAGAGGCTGAATTACAGGCATGCATCACCGTGGCTGGCTAGCCTATGTTGTATCTATCTGGGACCAGATCAGTTTGCAACAGGATCCCCTTCCTCACCCACCTCCACACTAATGTGCAGAATTCCACTCCCATAGCAGGGAAGCCATAGTCTACATAAAAAGAAATGAATTTATGCATCCTCATAGAGATGGCCTCAAGCCTGGCTCTTGTGAGAAAAACATTGATTGGTGCTATTAAAATGCATAGTTATTTCACCAACACGTACAAGAATGAAGAATGCAAAAGCAGAACCATTCATAGGACTGGTGAGAAAGGGCAAGCACAGGTCAGACTAGGGATCCGTCTTCTGTCCTTGCCAAGGGGAGTCAGGCAGGAACTTCAGAAGCAAGGTGTTTTTTTCCCCAAGGGGCAGTAAATCAGAAACCAGAGGCTACTTCTGAGACTTTTCCTTATCTGAAACCAGAAAGGTTAGCAGAAAAAATCTCCTCGTATGCTGCCAGACCCACACTTCAAGGATCTGCAGGGCTGTTAGAAAAATTAGCTCAGCACCTTCAGCTTGCATTGGGCCATCACTTAGCTTTCCACACAGACATTCCGAATGGGGCCTTTTAAAACTCTGCTCTCAAATGAAGGTGGCTCAAGCAACACTTGGATGATATCACAAGACTCCCAGGGTGATGCTTCACTGCTTCCTCAGCATATGCCAGTGCCCATTTTACAAGGGGGGATTTATGATCCCTCTCTCAGTAGAGCAAGCCAAAGTTTTATAATATTCATTAAAAATCAGCACCACATGTAATAATATGGAATACTGCCTTACACAAGAGGGCCAAGTTATAGGTGTTTAGGGAAACCTGGCAGAATTTCTTGGCCTTGGTGAGGGGTAAAGTTGCAGGCACCAGCACAACATTAACACAACCTTGTTTTATTGCAAATGTACGTTCAGCTTAAATTCTAATTACTCCCTTTAAAATCCTACCACCACCAAGCTTTCTTCCTACAGGGCAGCCACACGATGGTCTTAAAGGGCAGAAGCAGTGTCTAAAGTAAAGGCAGGGGAAAGTGGCTACAGCACAGAAGGAGGTGAGGCTAAAGCTGGGAAGGTGGCTTTTTATTTAGGCTTTGCAATAGATCCCTGCACTTCCATAAACTCTGGCATGAGGGCTTCCAGGCTCACCCAGTTTGCAGAAGGCCAAGGCAATCCAGAAAAGAATTCAAACATCAAAGTCGCTCTTGGGTAAGACACTGTTCTTCCTATGCATACTCCCCCATCCCCAAGACAGGGCCTGATTAGCTTTGTAGGGGCCCATTGTGCATCTTTTCCCGTCCCTCCAGGGCAAGGCTAGACAACCCAGGAATCCCAGGTTTCGAGGTTTGGCTCTCCTCCCTGGGAATAGTGCCTGGAACTCTGGCACCCTCCCCATGTGACACACTAGCCTTCATCACTACTCTAATCCCACTTGCCCCAAACCCGTGTCTTTCAAGGCCTGGCAAGGCCAGGCTAAGCGAGTCTGTCAGGCCGGCGTTGAGGAGAGGGCTCTCCCGGCCGCGCGGC